GCTAGTCATCACCACCCACCGCCAACTCTTGGGCTACTCTTTTACCAACGAATAGTGTGACTGACCGTCACATTATAAAGAGCGAGCATGTTTGGTGGGACGGGGATTCGAACCCGCGATCCTCAGATTGCGAGTCGAGCGCCTTATCCACCTGGGTCTTACTCACAGGGAGACTGAAGGGGTAAGAATCATAGACGCAGAACTCCCCGGTAGCTCAGAGGTAAGACTGAGGGCTTAAAATCCCAAAAATCAGCTTTCGATACCCGTGGTGGGCAGAACACAGATTACTTCTCTGTGTAGCTTTGCGCTTAGCAACAACAACATAGATGTAGAACTTTTAGATAACCGCTGGGAAAAATTTATTTGAGCCACGAAAAACTTCGCAATTTTATGATGTATGGTTTGTTTGAAGTTAAGTACGAAGCTACACAATGGGCTATTTATGCTCTGCCCACCACCCGTATCGAAACCCGGTTTCTAGCGTTGTAAGTCCGCAGACATACCGCTGTGCCACTGGGTCGCTTATGAAATGTGAAGTATGCTAAAATCATCGTTATTTTTATCTTATTCTTACTGATGAGATAATACACGTAAATATTCTATAATTCGTTCGACTTTTTATAATATTTTCCAACTTATTTATACAAATAAGATATTTTTCTACAAATTTTGAAGTCTTTTGCGAATTATTTTCTCAATACAAACTCTTCAAGAAATATCATTCTTGCTCTGACTCTGGTGAACCTATGGCACAACAAAAAGAACAATATGTTTAAAATTGACGTAGTTATGTAAGACTTCTAATACAGAAAAAATAATAGAGTGAAATATATATTATTAACCAATGTTATAATTTTAGATACCTGCATAGCACTTGCCCATCCTGTAAGGTTTTGTGAAACTCATCCCATTCTCCATTTGTGTCAATATCTAAATCTGTAACTTCTTTCACCCATTGAAGCATTCTTCCTGCTAGTTGGGAATCAAATTTTTTTTTAATCTGAAAAAAAAATCAGAAAATGTCTTTAAGAAACAAAACAAGTTACACGCCTGATAACAAAGTTGTAGAATTATTATTGTTAAGTTATATTGTGAAAACAAACTTCTCAGATGCCAGATGAGAATTGAAGAAATATACAGCGGCTAAATACGTAAAAGTTGTAAGAACACTATGCTTTAAAGATAAACAACAATGAAAAAATCAACCACGATCCATCCTTTACGGCTGCATACCAGTTGAGACAAATACAGAGGTTTCCAGATTGTGATCTACACCAGTGTTTCCCAAAGACGGAGCCGCGGCCCTCCTGGGGGCCGTTAAAAAGTGGGCCGAAAACAAAGATGCTGAATTAATTTTAATTCTAAATAAACAATAAGCCGATAAAAATTATGTTGAATTAATTAAATGATATAGTATGTGGAAAGGAGATGTTATTGTTTTTAATACGGCACTGTTTTTCAATCGCCATGCTAAAATTATAGGTTGGGGGGGTCTCAAACTTTTTTATTCACATCAAGGGATCCTCAGACTAAAAGAGTTTAGGAACCACTGATCCAGACACTTACGTACAGAAATATGTTTCTATGTATGTCCACACAAAGCAGTCATTTTTTCCGCTCTCTCTTTCTCTCATTTTTCATTTTCGTTCCTTTTGCTTTTTACTGAATAATCTTCTTGGAAGGAGTGATATTGTTTTACTCATATCTTCGTTATTCTTGTTTTAACTTGCATTCTTTGCTTCTCTTTGTTAATTTACTACATAATTACACTTGCTTTTTCTATAAGACCTAGCAGTTTCTGCCTTGATCGTACAGGCTTAGCCTAACGTTTCTCTAATGCTAACGCTATCAGACTTAACAGTTTCTGTCTTGATCGTACAAGCTCAGCCTGACGTTTCTCTAACGCTAACGCTATCAGACTTACCAGTTTCTGCCTTCATCGTACAGGCTCAGCCTAACGTTTCACTATTGCTAACGCTATCAAACTTAACAGTTTCTGCCTTCATCGTACAGGCTCAGCCTGACATTTCTCTTCGAACTTTTAGCTTCATAAGGGCGATATTCTTGTTCCCCCATCCTCTCAAGAATAATATAAATATTTGTTTCTTCCATGGCCTTTTCTTGACAACTTTGGGGTAACCTGTCATCCATCTGCCAGGTATGCCCATTACGTTATTGTGTAACGTCGCGCCAATCGTTTTCCAAATGGTAGTTTATCTCCATGATGTTGGAATTTTCAATTTCATCGTCTTATCAGAATTACTTCAAAGACTACTGGTTGCATTCAGATTTGAGAAACAGTCTAAATAAATTCTCTTTTCTGATCTCTATGTTGATTTTTTTCCATTACAAGGCTGAGGAGCCACGTGCTCAATCTTCCATTTCTTCAGTTAAAACTGTAACCAAATTCATTCCCTAGACCAATCCAATTAGCTTGACATCAACCTCGTAAGCTTGCTTTCTCTCTTGTCAAGTCCAATCTAGCTTGCTCATCTGTCAAGTTCTCCACTCAGACTAGCTCTGTTCCTTTCTGACTGTTTCAGTCCTGCTTTTAGTCACACGGACTTTTGTGTTTACGTCAATGTGTCATCCTAAACTTAATCACATTACCAAAGACTCCAACTCATGAAATGATGATAATGTCATTTTAGGGTCAACTACACTCGTTGCTTGACCTCAAGATTCTTCTGCTTAACTGCACGTTATTTTGCCATCTTTACCACTGCTTTATCACACTCTAAACCAGTTCGCTGATTTCCTTATAAACTGTTCATGTTTCTTTGCAACCTTATTGAATACTAACTAGTTCATTGGCAGTATTTCTTTTGATATTTGTTTCCTTACTCTCTGTAATTTCATAATTAGTTTTCTTCACTTATGATTTTCTGGGCCGTTTATTGTTGTTGTTGTTTCTGTTCCTCGAGCTCACCTGATAATCTCACTCACAGTTAGGTTATCTTTCTTCTCACATCATGTTTTGTAATATGATATCATTCTAGCACGTGATAGTGTGGGCAAAGAAAGATTCCTAATATCTGACCACCTTTAGTTTTCTCCAAAAATTACCCATCAGGATATTGTGACCAGTGGGTTGACCTGATGATGGAGAATGAAAGTAACCCCAAAACGTTGTCCATTTTCTCAATTACATAAACAAATTGTTATTTTAAATCTTAATTTGCTATACAACTCCTGTCATTATACCATTTGGGTTTTCAGAAGAAAGATTCCTCCATAAAAATCTTATTGGATTTCTGGCCAATGGAGTTTATCTCATTTAGATTTCTACACACCCAACTTTATACGAATACTAGTCCAAACTACAGAGAGCACTACACAGTCTTAAACTCTTTCCCATAAACTAAAACATAATTTTTATTGATGTAAAACTTTTTTAACTTTTAGCGCAATTGTTTTTATTCAGTTTTGACATAAAAACACTTGTTCCATAAACCATCGAGGTTTCTCGGATCTAGAATGACCTTGTGTCCTTGTCTTCCTCTCATATCAGATATCACCCCTCTTCTGCTCGACAAAATGAAGTGATGTCCTTCAGTTTGTGATATTGGTATATCCCAGGCGGCGAATGTTATGAGAGAGTGATTGTCCATTGGCAACGCGTTCGCAAGACAAAATAAACTTAAGATTCATTAAAGCTTGAAACCTCATTTTCAGACAGTTCTATTTGGCTTTCGTCTAGAGTATTTCTGCAGAGAATCAATTCGAGAGAAGAAAACCTGAAAATCTAGTCACTGATCCAGTAGGGTCGATCGTCCATTTGTCTATGCACACTTGTGTTTGTTATTTGTTTTATTTTGTTTTAGTATACCATAAATTTTATTTTCACTGATTTTAAACATTGTCCAATCTATCTATTTCTCACGCAACTTAAAAACTCGGTTAGTTTACAGAATCAGATAACTTAGCAAATTTTATGTTTGGCCCTACCGTCATTAGTGGACCTATAACATGCATAAAAATATATTTTATGTGGACTAAACATTAATTAAAAAGTGTTTATTTGTGGAATGGTAATAAAAAAACCCTTGAAATACATGGTAAACACTTATTTTTTGTGGAATAACCGTTAATGTAAGGGCATTTCATTGTGGAATAACGGTAAAAAACACTCAAAATACATACTATACAACAGTTATTTTAGGGTAAATTGTAGTACAATTTAACGTTGAATTGCTGTGAAGTTAACAGTTGGTGGGTTGTTTTGAATTTCGCGCAAAGCT